CGTGTCCTCCAGGCGCCAGCTTCACTACCGAATCCAACGTACGTGTGATCTTTCTTCTTCCCCGTCATACTTTTTACATCCATGGATAGTCAGCTTATTGAGATAGCGGAGACCGAAGGATGAAGCTTTGCAGAGCCAAGACTCCACGCTCCATTCATAGCCGAGCGCTCAGTTCCGCCCAAGATTAAACGAAACTTCGTTTGGGACGCATTAGGCCACGGGGTTTGTATGAAGCTTCCTCAAGAGCCGCTCCAGAACTTTGAGTGTGCCCCATGACAAATGTGCGGGCTACTTTTTTATAGCTTTGAGAACCGCGTGGGTTAGTCGCCGCCACAGAAGCTTGAGTAGTCACTCACCCCCGCTCACAACTTCTTTCAGCCGCGGATCGGTTAGAGTTCGCCTACTCGAGTCCACATTTGGGGACAATCCTTCCCAGGCTCCTGATATAAGCACATTGCTAGCGCATTAGCAAGAGGCAGAGTACAATGGCCGGTGTCGATAAGAAGCTGCGTCGCTGCCACAGAAGTTTAGACCTCGTTTCTCCGCCCCAAGATGTCTTCCTCCAGTATCGAAGACAAACTGTCCCCTACCGAGACCGTGCAAGACGTTGCATTGGAATATGGGTCGCCAAACGATGAGGTTGACTCTCGCAGAGTGTATTGGAAACTCGACATGCGACTAGTTCCATTATCCTGCCTTCTCTACCTGCTCTCCTTCCTGTACGTTTCATGTTCTTGTCGCCGCCTCTGCGATCTGACCCAATGAATCAGCGATCGGACGAGTATAGGTGCCTTGTGTGCACTATGTCCATAAAGGGTCCGGGACTGATCTTTTCTAGGAAATGCGAAGATTGCCGGAATGGTTGATGACCTGCACCTGACGGGCTTGAAGTACAACCTGTGTGCGGCTATTCTCCTCGTGCGTGCTCTTTTCTGCCTCTCTGTTTCATGAAGACGACTGATAAAGTGCAGATACCCTATGCGCTCTTAGAAGTCCCTTCGTAAAAGACCTCCATCGGTGCACTGAATTTGACTGCATATCTGACGCTCATCCTGCAGGAATCTCGCCCTCAAGAAACTTGGTCCCTCTAGATGGAGTGAGCACTACTCTCAGTAGCCTTCATAATTTTGATCAGACCTGACTTCATCGCAGTCCCTTTCATCATGGCAGCGTGGGGTATCATAGTTGTCGCTGAAGGCTTCGTGAAGAGCTTTGGCGGGCTCATGACGTAGGTCTCCTTCCTTGACGGACGCTTTGCTTGAGTCGCCGATTGTAAACACGCAGAGCCCGAGTGTTTCAGGGCATGGCAGAGGCGAGCAATCATGTTCTCCTCTTGTCTTTTCTACTGAAATGGCATGGCAGTCCGGCATCTTCCCAGGCCTGACGTTCTACCTCTGCGTCTGGTATCCGCGAACGGCCCATGCCCAAAGAATCAGTCTGCTATACTCGGCTGTGACGCTCGCCGGTGCATTCGGTGGGTTGCTCGCATTCGCTATCGTTAAGATGGACGGGTAAGGACACCCACCCCTGCTCGCCATTGCCTCAGCTCACGTCTGTTCAAGGATCGGAGGTCTTAATGGGTGGTCTTGGATCGTGAGTGTCAAGTCCGATGGATCGAACGAGGAGGAAGACTTGACAGGACTACGCTAGTTCATACTTGAAGGATTAGGTACGTCACATTATTCATCTGGCACAGACGCAGCAAGACTGATCTGCCGCGATAGTGACCTTCGTCGTCGCCATCTTCGCATGGTTCTACATGTCCGATGTGAGTAGTATACACATTCTGCACACTGTCACACACGGGAGCTGCGCACGCATAGTATCCGGAGAAGGCATCGTTCCTCACAAAGCCTGAGAGGGAGTGGTTGGTCGAGACCATCAAGCAGGATAGCACTGGACTCTCAAAAGAATTCAAGCGCAAGTTCGTCTTCCAAGCTCTTCGCGACCCGCATGTATGGATGCTGTTTGGCATCCACTTCTGGTATGCTCCAGCATAGTGTTGTGGTTCTTGCTACAGTTTCCTGACAGTCGCGCATCGGGATTGTGTCGTTCAGCCTTATCATCCCTGCCTACGCCTTCTCCCTCTTCCTGCCCACCATGATTACCGGTTTGGGTTTCTCTTCCTCAAAAGCCCAACTCCTCTCTGTGCCGCCAAATGCCGCAGGCTGTCTCACTACCGTTGTCGAGGGTGTTCTATCCGACCGCTTCCGTGCGCGTGGCCCGTTCATTCTCGTCGGGTCGCTCACGGCGCTTGCGGGCTATTGCATCCTCTTCACGACTGCGGATTCGTGGACCGGATATGTTGGAACGATACTTGCAGCATGTGGCCTGTTTCCGAGCATAGCGTGCGTCCTTGCTTGGGCGGGAGGTAACTCGGGTGGGGAGGTGAAGAGGGCGGTCGCTATTGCGATTGTTATCGGGTGTGGGAATCTCGGGCCGTAAGTCCGATTTTCTACTCAGCCTCGAGCCGTGCTGAGCCGAGCTCGTAGGATCGTCTCGTCGTTCATCTATCGGCAGCAGGATAGCCCACGGTACCTGCCCGGGCATGGAACTGCCATCGGGTGCTTGTGTGTCGCGTGAGTGGTGTATGTCAAGCCCGCTGCTGGCACTGATGCTCATCTTCGTGCAGGATCGTATTGTGTATCGTCGCCATGCTGGAGTTCACGCGACTGAATCGCAAGAAGACTGCACAGTGTGAGCGCGACGGTATCACAGAGGACATGACGGGCGAATTTGTCGATATGGGCGACGCCTCGCCACTCTACAGGCAAGATTCTTTCCTTCCTTTCTGTTTTAAGACCTGATTATGGTGGCATTGCAGGTACACGATATAAGAGCGGGTGTGTGCCGCCATCACGAGCTACCCCTCATTTCAATTCCTGTTTCTTCCTCCAGTCCACATGGCGGCAGCCCAATCACTTAGCGCCATGTGACGATGACATGGACACTTCGCGGTGGGCTTCTCGGAAAAGATCAAACCGTTGTACTGGTCAAGCTCAGAGCGGACGTTGAACGGAGTAGCATGCGATTATGTACGATAGAAACCTTGATAGTGATGACCCTAGACGTTCGAACCCTTCCCTCACAGGGTGAACTGCGCTCAGGAGTCCCACATCACCATGGAGGCGCGCCGCCTGTCCTGCAACGAAAGCGTCTCATTCGGACATCACCGTGAGAGATGCAGTGCCCACGAAACCAGGCGCTTAAGTCAGGGCCTGAACGTTGGCGACAACCATCCACACACCTCGGACTCTCTGGCATTGTATTGAGCGATGCGCGAACCGTCTGCATCAGTTCACGGCGATATGCTCCCTGATCTCATGGGCAAAGTCATGATCGTTACAGGAGGAAAGTGAGTACACAGTGGCATTATGGCGCGTTTACACAGTGCCAGGGTGAGCTAGACCTTATCCTCCTGTAGCAGTGGTATCGGGTACGCGACTGTCCAGCAACTGGCTCGTCGAGGTGCAAAGGTATACATTGCAGGGCGGAGTCAAGAACGGGTGTCTGCGGCCATAGCGCGCCTGCACGAAGAGGGCCTGGAGCCGGGGAACGGGAAGCTCGAATGGCTCGAGTTGGACCTTGAGGCCCCTAGCAAGATTAAGGACGTAGCGGCCGCGTTCCTCAAGAAGGAGGGCAGGCTGGACGTTTTGGGTGAGTCTTCCGTGCTGTGCTCGAACCAGTAAGCAGCATTAATAGTTGACATGGTATCAGTGCATAACGCTGGAAGGTATGTCAACATGTCGCTATGAGCGTACCTATCTAAACAAGATTGTAAGGATGCGAACACCATATGTGCTTGGCGAGGGAGGTCTGTCCTAGTAACCAGATTTATTCTCGAAGTTTCACGCTAAACGGCCTGGTGCAGGGATTGAAAAGTCTATGCTTGTCAAGTAAACGAAAGAGACATCCCAAAGTATGCCATCAATACTGATCTACTCCTAGCTATGTCGGGCCATTCCTCCTCACAAAAGCGCTACTGCCACTCATGACAAAAACCGCCAAAGAGAAAAATGGCGACGTCCGGATCGTTACGGTAGGGCCCACTCCCGCCGACTGTAATCGAGTTCACCTCAGTCTGACCTGAAATGCATTTTCAGCTATCTTCAAGTGAGATAAGGCAGTTGAAAGGCTATGAGGTCCGTTACCGCAATTTGGATGACTGGAACAAGGAATATGCGGGCGAGAAGTTCCCAATCGTAGGGGCGAAGAAAGATGACCAGCTTCGTTATTGTACGACTTGCGCTCCTTGGTGCCTGTGTCTATTTTTGGCTCATCGCGCTATTGACATCAGCACAAACGAAACTGGCCATTACACTCTATACCCGAGAGCTGCAGAGAAGACTCGACACTGACGGAGTACCTATCACCGTCATGTCCGTACACCCGGGATGGGTCTACACGGAAGGTTTTCTGAAGGACCCGCTGCACGATATCCCTATCCTAGGGTGGTTATTGAACTTTATCTTTAAGCTCACCTTCAAGACTCCGACGGAGGGGGCGCAGGCTTCCGTGTTCGCGGCGGCATCACCAGATGTAGCCGAGAGGAGAGATCGCTTCAAGGGCGCGTATTTGGTATCCCCTGGGAAGATCGCCACTCCACAACACCCGCAGGCGGAGAGCGTAGTTTTAGCCGAGGAGCTCTGGAAGGCTACTGAACCCATCGTGAGGCAATGGGAAGGCTGAGTGTATGAAGATGTATCCACTGCTGTCGTTGTGACGTGGCCCATCTATGCTATTGTAATCACAGTGCAGAACTGTACCCTGGTGGCTTGCTCAGTCACTTGTATTTGAGCCGTATGCGCATCGATTTGTTCGGCCACTCAGTGACGACACGGTGGAACAAAGTGCCAGCGCACTGCGGTCAGCTAAGTACTGTCAACCCGGGCACATTGGAGCGACGCCCAAGTGCTTCCCACGCACAAGCCGGGGATGGCCGACTCGCGCGCCGATACACCAATCCGAACATCGTCTTGCAATACTCTTTCCATGTCAATTTGGTCCCATTTCTGCTCCTACTGCGTGGTCAGCAGTCAATAATTGTGCGTGGAACACACCGCTAGCGAGGTGAGTAGTGCCATAGTTGATCTGCAGATCAAACACCTCATACTTCGACCTCTCCTACTAATCATCCCTCGCTCGTGGCGTATCATTAGACTCCCAAGCACAATCTCGCTGGCGAGCCTACGACTCCGCTGACGTGCTCGGTGGAGAGGGTGCTTCATTGACCCCTTTGCTGCTTGCGTAGCTGCATCTTCGCCTTGCTCTTCGCTCCAGGATGGTATCTCCTGCGTGTCCTGCGAGCACGGCGGCTTACGCACCTCCAGTGGACGGTTGGCATCTGCTCGCGTCGCTCTGAGGTTTTTCTCCCCCCCTACGGCCTGCGATATGGGCGTCACACATGGTCACTTCGTGAGGGTAGAATTGTTTGAGGCGATATAGGAATGCGAAAGGTGAGAGTTCGCTTCTGACTCCAGAATCACGGTCCGATGGTGTAGGCAGAGAACACTAGGAAGGACCAACGGGCGGATCTGAGACGCGAGGATGCTTTTATGGATGGAATGAACCCATACGCTCTGCGCCCGCCAATATCACTCTGCTACAGCTGTTGAAACGCCGTCATCGTCGAGGATAGTGCTACCGACCAGTGGTATCTTAGGTTCGGTGTGGAAGGCACCCGGTTCGAGCTTGCGCCTGCCGGACGTCATATGTCACAGGTACGGACTATATGCACAGCGTAGGCATGGTGATTCGGGTTGTGGACGAAGGGATGTTCACCCATGACACATTTCCACTGTAGACACGAGACGATCCTCCTGAACGCGCTGATTGGCATGTATCCTCTCCATCACCGGTTTGGCTTCTCCAATACCAGATTTTTCCCCTCATTTTTGTTAAGCTCGAACACTGTGAATTCTGCCGGGTTTCAGGACTGCACGTTCACGGATCGTACTGTCGGTCCTTGGTAGAACGTAGGATCATCGGCACTGCCTCAGCGCAATAGGTCAAATGGACAGCTTCTCTGAGCAGTGCGTGGGAGGTCATCCGTAATGAACGGCTCTGTTGCGTTGCCGCTCTTACTCGGACTATCCGCCGTCGAGTTCGGGAAGTACTAAGTCGTTGGCCGTGGTATACTCTCTCATTCCTTGGAGCTCATGTCCTCGTTCACCGCAACCCGTCTTCTCGACGAAGACCTCTCGCTCCCCACAAATGGTTCCCGCGAGCTGGACACATCCATCCCGAAGAACCGCCCCGACATGGAGTTCATGCACATTCTCAGCAACAGTACCGAGTACAACATACCCAGCAAGGGCTTCTTCACGCTTAACACCGTGGTCAAATCCGAGGGTACGGTCCGCCTACAGACAAGCAATCCCCGCGCAAGACAGGACGTCGACCTCGGCTTCTTCACCTCGCCGTAAGATCTCGTTGTGATGCGTCTGTTTTTCCTGAGATCATTGGATCGCACATAGTGTACAGGGCAGAATAGTTTCGGCCTCTGGCAAATGGCAGATTGGCAAATATGGCAATTGCCAGGGCCGGCAAATACTGGCAGATTCACGGGCGCTCTGGGGAGCCTCTGGCGATGGAGAGTGAGTAGAACAATTCATTGAGGCCACTGAAAATATCCCATTCTCTTGAGTAAAGATTTAGAACATGAATAATCCATAGATCTTGCTGTCTATTCACTTCCCGCAACAGAGTACACTCATATGGATGATTTACCATCTAGACGAGAGTTTCAGCCGGTCAGTCAGGCGCCGGGACGACTTCTCAAGACAAGCCAGTCAATATGGCGGCCATCAAGTGTCTCACTTATAATTACAACGCTATATTGAAACACTCGCCAGAGTATAGAGCGGAAGGACTGTCTCTTAGTGAGGCTACTCTGTCTCTGTGAGCGACCGGCAACGGCTCCATTAACAGTAAGCGCTCAACAAGCGCCGTGTATTCTGCCGCCAAATTGCCGGTCTCGGTGGCGGGCAAAATGGCGATTGCCGCTTGGCAGTTGCCTCTGGCAGAGTGGCAGCGTTCTGCCAAGAACACTAATCGCACACCATGGCCCCGGCAGTAGTCGTCGCGGAGAAGTGTGCGGCGATGATGCGGGGCCAGGTTCAAAAGCTATCTACGAACTATAGGATATCCATCGCCAACCATGAGGTCCACAATATCCCGCAGATTGAGCCATCCATTCATCATGTGTACATCAGCAAAACCATCATCCAATGGTGTTGCATGGCCACGGCGCTCGAAACTGGCCTACCCTTCCCGGAAATCGCAAGCGCCGCCTCATACCGGCCAACTCCCATCTCGCCCGACAGAATCTGGCAGTTAAACATCTGCGCAGATGGACACCGGCAATGGTAGATAGGTATGTATCTTGCACAATCACTTCATACCTATCACTTGTCATTACTAGCCGTTGCACCACAGCCGCCTCCTCCTCGGCAACCCTGACCAACATCTCCCCGATCTCCTTCTCCCTCTTTCGAGCACGCTCCTCATCCATGTCCGTACTCCCTCCGCCTCCGCCTACTCCGTCTCCTGGTTTGTGACGCTAGGCGAGCTCTGTCTCTGCGCTCCTCCTGCTCGCGCGCCGTGCGCCAGATAGATTCGGGCGAGTGGCAGTGTCGGGTTTACGAGCGGAAGGACAGAGACGGGTGCCCCATAGATGCCACACCTAGTCTATCAGGCTAGCTCGACCTCTTGTGGCTCTCGTTATGTCTACCTTTAGCTTACTGCATTGCACCTCGCTGGCAAGTCTCACTGACCCCGACATGAAAAGCGCTGAACCTATGGTCACCTGTGACGCGCAGCTATCGTGTTTGTCCCAAGTGGGCGATGTTCCCTTCACGATCCTCACCCTTCTACATGGACTCTCAACAAATCACTGAAGCCTGCCCATCGATGACGCGCAGTCTATACTTGCAATCTAACTTGTCATCCTGCCAACCCTGCCCTGAACTGTCGCTCCCAAAACCCCTCACCTCTTGGATCTTCCAGTCCGTCTTCACCTTGCCCAACCACGAGCGCGCGCCCACGAAGCTCTCTACCTACCGTGAGTTCGTATTCATGCTTCAGGGCAACGTCTACCTCCGCTACAACCCTTTCGCTACTCCTGACGAATTCAAGAAGTAGGTCTGCCCATATAACCCCACCACTTTGAGATCGGCCCTGTCTACTCCGCACGTGTATGTCCCCTCCCTCCTTCTCCGGTTGTCGTGAACATCTCACTACAAACCCTGCCTGCAGCCCATGACAAGAAGACAGTCCGCCTAGCCACATTCGCCCAACAGCTTCACGAGCTTGTCTTTGACATCGACATGTTCGACTACGACCCTGCTGCGCCGCCGCCGATATCTGCCGCCCTGCTAGCAATTTCTCGCCGTCCATGACCAATGCAGCTACACCTACCTTCTGCTGTTCTCGACGCCCAAGCATCCCTTCGATTACTTGGCGGTGAGCCTAGTGCTGCGTCTTCACCTCGACTAATGTGTAAGTCTCTCATGTTCCTTATTGGGTCGCTTTGGCTTGGACAATGTTGCGCACTGACAGCTCTAGCGCTACTAACCCTAACCACGCCGAACTCTGCGAGTAGTAGTAAATTAAGTTCTATTTCCCCGTTCTTCCATGTATAGTAGTCCGCGCTCAATCATTAATGACTATGGAAACTACCGAATTGGGTTGTGTGATAGTTTGCCGGTCAGCATTCTTCGTAAACAAGATCAATAACCGTTTCATTGATCATCTATGTTCATTGACTCAGTCAATAATGTACAGTATTGGCCAAGTTCTGCCGCAGTATGGTACTCGAAGTCCATGCACTCAGCCAGAAGTGACCAGGCGCCCTGCGAGGTCTGGCCATAACAGACCATACCTCGTGCTTCTCTGCCAGTTTCCGCCAGTATTCGCCATCCCTTTGCAATAACTTGCCAATCTGGTCGGTAAGACAGAACCTGGGCATTACTGGCCATTGGGATGCACGATTTGCTGATGTAACGTAGCGCTATTTCGGACGCCGGTTCTATATTCTCCTGTCTTCCGGACCTAACCTGAAGGCGTGGGGTCCTTATAGGTCGAGGATGCATCGTTCATTCCTGGAACACATATTCCCTGACGAACTGATGTGGAACGTTGGAACGTGTCTGCCGCGGGTTGACAAGATCCTAGCCTATTCGAAGGCCCCAGCCAACGCCCGTCCAGGGGAGGGGAAGCGCTGAACCTTTACCTCAGGACCTTTTCGCATGGGCTATTGTAGCCGGGAAGGTACGATATGGCTGCCATGATCCATGGGATTGTTACTACAGCCAAAGGTACAGTGATCGTAATTGCATCCCTTTTTCGAATCGTACCATTATAAGGCTCCGACTGATATATGTACGGTGAAGGGGCACATCCCGCATGCTGCGGATCACTACCACAGAGCACCTGTGCCATCTGAGTATCACACAGCACAATAAAGCGTTACCGAGTCAGGTGGAGCCTTCCGATAGGAACTCTACAACGCATCTGTCAGAGCGTTAGGTTTGGAAACTAGAGAGTAGATATATCAGAATAGTTCAAGGATGATTGCTGAGTTGTAAAAGTTCCCCACACACCTACTTGTCGTCTCTGCTCTCATCATGCACATCATGAGGCGCTATCCTCGATGCCGTAGATTCTATGTCCGAGCCGCCATTTGTAGAGTTGTATAGCCCGCTTGTGTGCGCAAAACGAGGAATAGTGATGGAGTGGGTGATCTGAACCTTGTCGGGAGTCGTCTGGGTGCCAATGGACCAAATTGTAGCGAGCGGGGCACCGATAATTTGAACGTAGACATTGATGAGGTAGATGTTGATCCCGTCGTTGAAGTTCGCATCCCGAAAAGCACAGATGAGCTGTATGATGTTGAGAATGACCGGGAAGACAAAGTTCGAAGTCGCTATCCAGAATAGAGTTCGAAGCCGGGAGAGATAGCTATCAGCTGCTGGTCGATGGGCGTAGAGTCAGAGTTTTAGTGAGCAAGGAGGAGATTCATAACAAATGAAGAGAAACACTCACACCGACTACTTGAAGCTATGGTCAATTGACTGTTGTTTTTTTGACCTTGGATGAGCCGTGATAGGAACAAAATGGAGGTGAAGCTTTTCGTATATGTTAAGAACAAACGGATGAGGGAAATCGGGAGTGAATACACTCAACGTGTTGTCAAATGTCTGAAGGAACCAGGCAATCTTAGCCTCTGGAGTGGCCCATGCACGAAATTCAGCAGCCACTGGCTCAGTTGTCGTTCCCATGTTGACTCCATACATGATCATATTTACCAGGCGGGCAACCTTCATCAGAACCAAGGGCCCATATATTGCACTGCGGGTGACAGGTGAAAGTCGATGCGGAGGGTAGACTGCGTATACGCGCAGAAGTAGAACAAAATCTGCCATCGTGGGTGCCAATTCGAAGAGGAATGCAGCTGCGACATTGTACGCCTTACTGACGGGTTCAGAAAGCATAGTGAGGTACTAATAACACGTAATAGGATCAGCTCACTCCCTTGTTATTGCTTGGCGTGTCGTGCCTACCTGGCCATAAATGTGGAATATGCCGATGGCTATTCCGAGCATAATCACAATAACATTGAACATAAAGACCGGCTTCCGCCGGAGGTCCGGTGTCGAGAAGACGAACAAGATAATGAGAATAGGGACGAGCATTGCTGGTAGAATGGTACCAATTAAGAGAACATGCAAAGAAGGTCGAATGACGGCAATGGGAGTAAACCCTGGCGGAGGACTTGGCAGGGAACCAGATTGTAGGTTTGACATGGTGGAGTCGGCGGTGTACTAAGAGTCACGAAGAGCTCGAGGGTCCTTATAGCACAGGATATCGGAGTGTTTGTTACAGTGTTCTGTGGGGTGCGGTTGAGGGCCACCTTCAGGAAATGGCTCTTCCGTTGACCTATGCCGGAGTTCTCACGACAAGATCGAAATCGAACCCTATTCACATGAACCTCTTAGGATCTATCATATATGAGGCAGTGAAGACTCCAACAGGCTTGTTTGTATCACATCAGCGGAAACCCCTGCCTTCGCTCAGGATGTTTGATGACCTGGCCTGCATGGCACAGGATCCAGATGCAGCTGAACTTGGGCCTGGCACGTCAGAAATATCCAGTTTCGTGTCATCTTGCTATTGTTGTATGCATAATCTCGGGTAGACATTGGCTCTGATACAGTCTGTAGTTTTAGAGGATTGAGTGAGAACAGATGATCTATGGCGGAGGCCGCTTCCGCTCATGATGGTCTCAGCGCCTAGAAATGACTGTACTCCGTGCTCCGTAGCACACGACAGCTCAGTACACAGGGAAGAAGAAGAGTCGAATAGGTAAAGCTAGGCCGGAAGCCTGGGTCGGCGGAACCAGATTGGCCGGTCGAGGGACGGGCGCTCTGGCGCTCCGCTCTAAACCGCCTACACGCCCACAAAGCTGCGCCGCCCCGTCCAGCAGAAGTTCTACCACGTGGTGCAGCGCCAGCCTGTTGAGCGCGCCGCGCGCGAGATGTCTGTCAAGGAAATCAGGGAAGCCTTGCCTAAGGACTACCACCTCTCCGAGAAGCTCGAAGGCGAGGCGCAGAAACATCACCAGGGTCGCGGTGGTGCTAGTCGTGAGCGATGGGAATGAGCGAAGGGAAAGCGATCACGACGTCCCGAGGCTCAATGGCCGCGGACAGGAGCTTGTTCAGCGTCGCGGGCCCGCTCGTGGCATTCCTGTTCAGACCCCACCGTCGAGATGCACACTCGCCTCCGGTTCTCCTCTTGTAGACGCACGAGCGCGTGTCGCTGGACCCGACAAGCGGTAGCTCGTACAAACGCATCTCCGGACGCCTCGCCTCCTGCCACCTCCGGCTTTGGCGAAGCAGATGCACACGCACCCACATGTGATTGGAAGGTGACATCGAGGAGCTCTGCGCGTTGCCGCTCGGTTCGCGGAATGATCCCGCCATGCGCACGATGCAGACCACATCGCGGCTACCGCGCCTGAGACATTCGCTGTCGCGCACATTCCGAGGTACGCAGACATCTTATTACAGGTCACATTGCCGACGAAGATGCAGCTGAAGGAGATGGGAGCAGATGTGTGGCGTGTCCCCTGTCCGGCCTGTCTGGGCTCTGGAGCCACACGCCATCAGGCTCAATCTCAAAGAAGGCGGCGTGGACAGTTGGATTGGGTGATTATCATGTCACCGCGTCCTATTAGACAGTCATGTATCGTGAGGATTGGAGAGATACACGCGAATCGCCTAGAATACGCAGTGAAGTGCACCAAAGAACGACGGGGAGTTTACTCTTTCGTCACGGCTTCTCTTCCTGTACGTCATGATAGTGTCGTGCGCGACGAGCGTAATGATACTGAAAACGACCTTCGAGCGTGAGGTAAAATTGCGAAAAGAAACGAAATATGTGTGGTTCGTCAAGCAAGCCGTGCGCGGTCGCAGTGCCAGCCCCTTCGGAGGCCGGCGAAGGGCTGCAGACAAACCTACTGAGCACGTGATAAGCGCACGAAGTACATTAGCCGCGGGCTGCATCACCATACACCGGTGGACACAAACATGCGTGGATGACCTACAAATTTTTTTTTGCCGTGCGAGCTAGGTCTTGGTTCAAGGGCAGCTCGGGAGATGCATCTAATCACGAGGATAAGCGAGGGTGGTCGCACGGACGAGCTCGAGACACACTTACCGAGCCACCTGTTGCCCCGCGAAGAACGGCAGCGTCCCAGCGGCGGACCGGACCTTTCAAGCGCTTGACGCAAACAAGACTCGACAACGCATGCCGTCCATGGCGGTAGTACCTCTGCGCACCGACAAGGAACACAGGCGAGTACGCCTGCATGCAGCCATTGGCGGGTAAGAACGGACTGCCCAGATGCGGTGCGAGGCGTGACTCTTAAACGGAAGAACATGATGGAGGGGGGAGTAGACGAAGGCCTCACATCCAATAGCGACGATTCCCGAACCCGCACCCATCGACGCGAGGGTGACCTGCTGAGCAGGACTGTAGGCAATTGAGGATTATTCTAGTTACGGGCTGATGTGCAAGCTGGTCGAAGCTCAGGAAAACGTCGGGAATGGGGCCCTTTTTAAAATGCGGAACTTGCCACAGGCACCTAGCGTGGTGTGGCCGACGAGGGATTGCAGAAGATAGGAGAGTCCGCGAGTTCGATCTGACCAGGGGTTTCACGTTGCCGCCTGGCTCGCGACCAAAGCGCAAGGGAAGGTCTCCATGACGTCTCCTATCTTTCTATCAGCCCAGGCCGCTACGAGATTGCAATTCTGTCAAGTCTTTATCCTCGTTACTCACGAGGAACCTTGCAGCCCATCCTGACCTTACTGCCTGAGTCGCAATCGAGACGAGGACCCGCCTGGCTTGCCCCCGAGGAGCGCAGACGTTCTGAAAGCGGTAGCAGATCAACACTGCGTATGCTTTCCCTAGAATCGAGCCGTAAAAAGGTGACACATGCGTATCACTATCACTCACCGCTTCTGCTGTCAGCGGGCTACCTGGATAACACACTCAACAGCCTTTCAAGACGCACTGGTAGGATTAGAGAGGGTGGTCGTGGACAGACGTACGACTGCTACTTCAAGGACATCTCGAAGCATGGAGAGGTCTGCTCCTCCTTAGACGCGCTACTCAGGCGCACGCAGGACTAGCTGCCATGACGGTCGCAGAGCGGCAAGAGGTTAGAACAGGGAAGCGAGCGGGGTGATGGTCGACAGCACTGCATCAGAACCCTCGAATGAGCACCAGAGGCGCTGTTGCTGAGCATCGAGACTTCAGATGGGGCCTGAGCTGAATCTAAGCCGCAATTCGGACGAGGTTACGAGAGCTTGCCTGACGCGGCACAAACAGGATATGAAGGCAAAGCGCGACTTGCGTAGTAACACGCACCCGAGGATATATATATACAGGCTTCCAATGTGTCTAGGGCCTGATTCGGAAGTAAGGAAGGCGACTGGTGACGGACGATAAGACACTTCTTCGTATTCGCACCCAGGCGTCGCCTCGCGAGCACAGCAGCGGCGAGAGACAAGTTCCCAGGTAAGAGAGAGCAAAGAGCGAAGAACTATCCGTGACAGGCACCGACGCTAGTGGGGTGAGGGTGGGATGTACTCCTACACCACATCCACAAGCGGAAGCGAGCGCCCCAACAAAATGTGATAGGAGGCATAGCTGCAGGCGCAAACGCAAAGCACGCCGGCTACACAGAATTTTGTGAGCACAGTGGTCGAGATTGGAAGGAAGACGAACCACGCACCAAGATTGGGGGTTCGTCGCACAAGGGGCTCCAGCCCACACTGCGATCGACCCGGGATATGGTAGATAGGCTACGCGCCGCCTCGATAGCTCCCAATTCAAAAATGGGTTACAAGGGCGACGCTGGAGGGAGTAAGAGATCGATAGACAGTATGGGAAGCATACCGATGGCGCGCTAGTTGACGAATGTACTGCACACCGCTCGCGGAGAGTCCTGGACTGGAGCCGAAGCAATCAGGCAAATGCAAGGTGACGTGGAACGCTGACGAGTGCAAAGGAAATCACGGAAGCAGTCAAGCGAGGGACGAGCAGCAATCGCATCGTTGGAGAAATGGAGAATGAGAGGATATCGGAACGCGGCATCTACCATCGTAGAAGAGTAGTCGTGCAGCGCACCCGTTGAAAATTGGCGGAGGGACAAGCGGGCACGCGCAGGACTACCTCGCCCCGTGGGAAAACCCGAAGACTGATTCTCACGCAATGTCCTGGCTCCTATCGGCGGATTGTTTACTCGTCATGGTCCCTTGCTCTCCATTCCACGATGATGTCTTGTCGCTACTCCTCCGTTCCCGGCGAGTCCAGCGGCTCCTCAAGTAGACGGTTGGCATCTGCTCGCGTCGCTCTGAGGCTTTTTTCTCCCTCCGCAGTCTGCGATATAGGGTCGCCCGTGGTCTCTTCGTGAGGGTAGAGCTGTTCGAGGCCATGTAGGAATGCGAAAGGTAAGAGTTCGCCTTCGACTCCAGAATTATGATCCGATGGTGTGGGCGGGGAACACTGAAACCATGACCAACGGGGCGGATCTTAGACGCAAGCATGCCTCCATTTTCTAGAACAAACCTATACGCTCCGCGTCCGCTAATGTTATTGCGCCTACGACTCAATGAGCCCTCGTCGTCTTCGAGGATAGCGCTACCAAGAGACGGTATTGGCCAGGAGGCTTAGAGTGTGGTATGGCGCTGTTCGAGCTCGCGCCTGCCCAACGCCATGCGTTGAGAGCTCGAATCCCCGGTGATTCAGGTCGGGATGAGGGTTTATTACTCCTATGGCACATGTGCGTTGTGTGGGCACCAGACGATCCTCCTGGAAGCACCGAATGACATGTAACATAAGACAAGATGTTCTCGATCATCGCTATTGAGCTCGATCGTTGGTTGGGTGTGTCATATTCAAGGCATGTACTGTTATTGCTCGGGTCGTCGGCGCTGTCCTAGCGGAATAGGTCAGATTGACAGCTTCTGTGAACACTGTGGGAGGTTACATGCACTGTCGCTTACTCATACTATCCGCAGTCCGTCCCATCGTCCCTTCATCAACAGCGCTCTCAAAGCTGTGGGAATCAAACTCATGCTGTCTCACGGTCTGGGTTGTTCTAAGGGCTCTCGGGTCCTGTAAAGCTTCGTCTTCTGTGATGTGATGGACGCCACCCCCGCGGACTGGACACAGTACGTACGCCAAGTTTCCAATTCGCCCCGCTCAGCTTATACCGATCGACCAGTACCCCAGGTCCCAGACTTGCCCATCTAAGTAGACGCCCTTGGTCTTCCTTGCCTCAGTAGCAATCAACAGCCAAGAACGACTAGCACTCCCTCATGACTGTTGTACCGGAACTCAAACCCCAAGATGTTGGGGTTGCCATCCCAATCGCTCCTCAAATCAGTCCAGAGACTTATACCTACGACTACATCATCGTCGGTGGTCTGTACTCGCTTCCGAACGCTCTGGCCATATATGTACACGCAGACTCATGCATGCTTCCCACAGGTGGAACCGCGGGGTCCGTGCTCGCATCGAGGTTGAGCGAGGACCCTAGCGTCTCGGTGCTGGTCATCGAGCGCGGACCAGTTGCAGACACCTGGGCCTCGCGTGTACCCCTTCTGTCGTCGAACATTTTCGACAAGGATGGTCCCATACGCACCTGGTGGTCCTTGCCGATGCGCAACGCGAATAATCGGTTTGCGCAAATCATGTCGTCCGAGGCGCTGGGCGGCGTGTCACGCATTAACGGCCTGCTCTACACACGAGGTTGGTTGTTTGGGTGGATGCACCGGCGTCCTCGGGGTTAATCGAGGGTTCTGGCAGGTACCCCCGGAGATTACAATCAGTGGAAAGCGCTCGGAAACCCTGGTTGGGGCTATGAAAATCTAGAGCCTTACTTCGTGAAATCTGAGAAGACGTCCAGTCATCCAGCGTCGAAGTTTCGTGGACATGACGGTAGGCGACTCAAATCGTCTCTGAACCGAGCAAGTTCATAACGGGTTTACGCACGTTGCAGGAGTTTGGCAGAACCGGACCTCGAAAGATCCGTACCATACAAATCAATAGTGAGTCCTACCAAACCCTTGCACGATCTTGCGCTCATATCAGACTGCGGACAGCATCGTACGTGCTCTGCAGAAGGCAGGCATAGAACAAGTGCCGGATCTGAACGCCCCGGATGCACCAGCTGCATGCGTGGGCCGTACGGACCACATCGTCGACAACGATCACAACAGGAGTTCGACCAATCGCGCGTTCCTCTCTCCGCAGCTCACTCAAGAGCGGAAGTCACGCCTGAAGATCTGCACGAGCACGCTCGTTACGCGAATCGAGCTGGTCGGGCTGGGGGACGAGCTTCGTGCGGTTGGCGTGCATTTCGAGGCTAACGACCCGAGATTGGCTAGGCAGCAGTATTTCTCTAGGGCTAGACGGGAGGTAGTCCTGTGCGCGGGAGCCCTCGCGTCCCCACAGATCTTGATGCTGAGGTCCGTATGCCTTGCCGCCGATTGTGGCGTGGCACTGAACTAGACGTTGCAGCGGTCTTGGACCCGAGGAGCATTTGCGACAGAAGGGTATCCCTGTCGTTCGTGATCTCCCTGCTGTTGGCGGCCATCTGGTAGGCAGTTCACTCCGTTCCTACTCCTGTCACATTCTCATCCCATGTCCAGCAAGATCACGTCGGTCTTCCGATTATGTTCGAGGTTCCCATGCGCGACTCCGTACATCAGCTACAGACGAACCCACTGAAAGCCGCAGTCGAGTTCGGGAAATATTTGGTCGCTGGCCGTGGTATACTCTCTCACCCCTTGGAGCTCATGTCCACGTTCGTCCCAACCCGTCTTCTCGACGAAGACCTCTCGCTCTCTACAAATGATGCCCGCGAACTGGACGCATCTATCCCGAAGAACCGTCCCGACATCGAGTTCATGCACATCCCCAGCAACAGTACCCAATACGACATACCCGGCAAGGGCATCTTCACGCTCAATACCGTCCTCATCCGCCCCAAATCCGAGGGTACGGTCCGCTTGCAGACAAGCAATCCCCGCGCGAGACCGGATGTCGACCTCGGTTTCTTCACCTCGCCGGACGATCTCGTTCCGCTCCGCAAGGGGGTCCGTCTAGCCATGCGTATTGCTGATGACGTGGTCAAGCAAGGCTACCCGCTCAAGCACTTGCTGGTGCCCGATGGCAAGACCGAGGACGACATAGACAGGTTCATTCGTGCGAACGCCGCGACGTCGTGGCACTACACGTCTACGTGTCGCATGGGGCAGGAGACACATGGAAGCCAAGAGAGCGTTGTCGACGCGGAGCTGAAGGTGCACGGGGTTCAGGGCCTCCGGGTCTGTGATGCTTCTGTGTTTCCTGAGATCATTGGATCGCACACGATGGCCCCCGCAGTAGTCGTCGCGGAGAAGTGTGCGGCGATGATGCGGGGCCAGGTTCAGTAGCTCACATGGTCATGAAGTCTCCCATATCCCGCAAATTGAGCCATCTGCTTGTC